TTCTGTGTTCTCCTTACTCTTTGATAGTCTACCTGTGAGGAGAAAATGCACTTCTGTATTCCAATTTTATCATCCCTGCTCCCGTCTTCTCCTATCCCACATACCTATAGGTTCTGTATATGAATACTGGATGTTATCATCTCTGAATAAATATGGGGAGATAAGAATGAGCCAGGAAATACTCTCTTGCTACTTAAAAAAATCAGAACCTCATAGTAGAACAATTTATAGTCCTTTGGATATATACCCAGTAATGGGATGGCTGGGTCAAATGGAATTTCTATTTCTAGGTCCTTGAGGAATTGACACACTGTCTTCCACAATGGTTGAACTAATTTACACTTTCACCAGCAGTGTAAAAGTGTTCCTGTTTCTCCGCATCCTCTCCAGCATCTGTTGTCTTCAGATTTTTTAATGATCGCCATTCTAACTGGCGTGAGATGGTATCTCAGTGTGGTTTTGATTTGCATTTCTCTGATGACCAGTGATGATGAGCATTTTTTCATATGTTTGTTGGCCTCATGTATGTCTTTTGTAAAGAGTCTATTCATATCCTTTGCCCACTTTTGAATGGGCTTGTTTGTTTTTTTTCTGTAAATCTGTTTGAGTTCTTTGTAAATTCTGGATATCAGCCCTTTGTCAGATGGGTAAACTGCAAAAATTTTTTCCCATTCTGTTGGTTGCCGATTCACTCTAATGACTGTTCCTTTGCTGAGCAGAAACTGTGGAGTTTGATTAGGTCCCATTTGTCTATTTTGGCTTTTGTTGCCAGTGCTTTTGGTGTTTTGGTCATGAAGTCTTTCCCTACTCCTATGTCCTGAATGGTTTTGCTTAGATTTTCTTCTAGGGTTTTTATGGTGTTAGGTCTTATGTTTAAGTCTGTAATCCATCTGGAGTTAATTTTAGCATAAAGTGTCAGGAAGGGGTCCAGTTTCTGCTTTCTGCACATAGCTAGCCAGTTTTCCCTACACCATTTATTAAACAGGGAATCCTTTCCCCATTGCTTGTTTTTCTCAGGTTTATCAAAGATTGTATGGTTGTAGATATGTTGTGTTGCCTCCGATGCCTCTGTTCTGTTCCGTTGGTCTATATCTCTGTTTTGGCACCAGTACCACGCTGTTTTGATTACTGTAGACTTGTAGTATAGTTTGAAGTCCAGTAGTGTGATGCCTTCCGCTGTGTTCTTTTTACTTAGAATTGACTTGGCTATGCGGGCTCTCTTTTGGTTCCATATGAAGTTTAAGGTGGTTTTTTCCAGTTCTGTGAAGAAGGTAATTGGTAGCTTGATGGGGATAGCATTGAATCTATAAATTACTTTGGGCAGTGCAAATGAATGTTCATTGCAGCACTGTTTACAATAGCAAAGACCTGGAATCAACCCAAATGCCCATTGATGATAGACTGGACAGGGAAAATGTGGCACATATACACCATGGAATATTATGCAGCAGTCAAAAACAATGAGTTTGTGTCCTTTGTAGGGATATGGATGAACCCAGAGAACATCATTCTCAGCAAACTGACACAAGAACAGAAAATGAAATACCACATGTTCTCACTCATAGGTGGGTGTTGAACAATGAGAACACATGGACACAGGGAGGGGAGGACTACACACTGGGGTCTATTGGGGGAAATAGGGGAGTGACAGCGGCAGGTGGGGAGTTGGGGAGAGATAGCATGGGGAGAAATGCCATATATAGGTGAAGGGGAGGAAGGCAGTAAATCACACTGCCACATGCATAGCTATGCAACTATCTTGCATGTTCTTCACATATACCCCAAACTCTAAAATGCAACAAAAAAAATTCAGGGCCTCAAGATAAAGGATTAGCTGCACTTTCTCTAAGATTCTATGCAAAACAGTAGAGATCATTTTTTTCTTTAAAATATTTTTTGTTTTACTTTCTTTTGGGGAAAACAAGGCTGCTGTGTTTCAAGAAGTGGCATGTGGGTGCTCCTTATTGCTTTCAGCTTCATCAGCTTTATGGTTTATGGAAATCTCTGTAAGTTGCTATTATTAGTGACATCTCTTTCCTTCTATTCTCAGGATCATGTGAATTTTTGATATCATCAGTGCTTTCTAAAATATTTATAGCAGTGTTGAAATAAGTTGTGCAAGGGTTACTACTTAGAGGCATTTTAATTCCATGAAAAAAATGAAATCTAGTAATTGAGCAAATGGATATAGAGAAGTAAGAGGAACCTAGGAAAACTTTTAAATGCTGATGTTCCTAACCTGTGTAAATGTTTGCATGTATGTATATATCGTTATTTTGGACAAGCCAGTAAACCCCAGCTTAGTTTCTTTATTTACAAAATTAGAGCAAATATATTATACTTACATATTATTTTGTACAAGTTTAATTTCATGGCAATGTGAAACCAAGTCAATATGTGGATACTTGAGACTTTCTGTATTATAATGAGTTCATGAAGAAGCTAGTGCTGTATGAAAATTTCTAGCCTAATCCAGTTTGAGTTCTTCTTTCTATGGCATTGATATTCAATTTTACTTTTGTTTTTAACAAACTCCAGTTCATAAGTATAAATGCTCCTGTTTTTGGTGAAAGCATTTTCATTCACAGACAATTTTGTGATCAGCAGAATTAATTAAAAATAGTGTGTTTCTGGTGAAGCATTTCTCTACCATAGGTGGCTGATACTGATGGATCTTTCTCAATCCATAGTTCAATGAGACTACCCTAGGTTAACTACAATTTTCCAGATTTAAAAGAGAAAAGAAGAATGAAAACCTTCTGATTATGAAGTATATTCAATGGAAAAGCAGTTTCATGAACTCTATGAGTATCTTCACTTTTAATTGACTGTAATGTGAAGTATAAATGATAAGTAGTCTGGGGAATGACTTGTCCTCTATCTTGGTGGTCATTGGGACAGAATTCTTCTTCCAGTCACTCTATGACTTTAATTAGAAAGTTATCAAACTCATATCTTTTTTACTTCAAAGAAATAGTATGTAATTGAATACAATTTAGCATTCTGAACCTAGTCATCTTACATAGAGCATTTCATTCAAATCTCACAAAAGTCTCTACAAAGTGAGTTTTGCTATGTTTTCTTTACAGACAAGTAAATTAAGATTGGGATAGGGTACATAAGTTGCCCTATAACGTATACTTAATTAGTGACAGAGCTAAGATTTCCGTCTTGATGTTTCTGACTCTAAAGTTCATGTTCATGAGCATTATGTTAAATACATCAATTAGGATTTTGTCTTCTTCTTTTTGCAGAAACTTGACTACAGTTGCATAACCAAACAGGACTTTCTTTATTGCACATGACAAGTAGTGCAGTGCTGATGCAGGTACTTAGGGAAATCTTCAAGACCCAGGCTTCTTCTAGTTACCTTTTCTGTCATGTATAGCAGGTGATTTTTATCCGCCTTGTTGTATGAAGGCTGCTGTGTCTCTGGTATCATGCAATATATGCATTACAAGCAGGAGGAAGAGGATGAGCAAAGGAGTAAAATAACACCTGTTATTTAATTAAAAATTTTTTTTCTGTACCAGACAAATAATAGCTTACCTGGAAGCCTTCATAATATGCTTCCATTTATAGCTTATTAACCAAATCTACACTGTAGGGCTATTCTAAACTTCAAGGGAGTCCAGGCAGTCAATTTTAATCAAACTTACTGAAATATAAATTAGATACCATGAACTTCATACATGAATGTACAGAGGTCTATGACCTAGGGCAAATAAATTCATGTAATCACTACTCCAGTCAAGTTACAGAGAATTCCATCTTGAGGGGGCAAACTTAACTGAGCATCTTGTCATCTTGAACAAAATTCAGGTTCTATTAGAAAAGGAGACAAATAGTGTTAGGTAGGCAATAGGCAGTGCCTGCCACACTAAGGTTACATATGGACATTTATGAAATGGTTTAGAAGCAGAATTGCAAGACAGGAAATACTTCTTAATGAGAGAACACTTGAGTTACAACTAACCTAGCTTAAAAAGGGAACTCGGATAAGCCCCTCAGACCTATTTATGTCCCAGTTTTCTAATATGACAAAAGGTCTTGAAAGATCTTAAAGGTGTCAAAAATTGTTTTTCAAATCAAATGAAATAATTAGTGTGAAAGCACATCAACATCTGTAAAGCCCTATATAATGTAAAGAATTGTCTTTAATTTTCATAATCAGAAAAGTTTGATTTAGAAAATGATGATGACCTTGAACTTATGGGCCTGAAATATCACAGTTGTGAAATTCAAATATTCTTATAAAATATACTAATTTTTAAATGTATTAATTGCATACAAATCAAGGCAATAAACAGCTATAGACACAAAACATTTTTAATTTGCATTCTTATCAGTTCTCTTTCAAACTATTTTCTTTTAAGTAAAAATTCACAGATTTGTAATTTTCAAAACCTTCAAAATATATGTACATTTATAACTAACAAATTCTTGTGTGATTTCCCAGTTTTTATAATACTGAAAAAATAATGCTTAGTCTTTTGTTCATGTGAAATATAAATTTTATTTTGAGAAATTGTACTTTTTGCAAAATCAAAGAGTGTTGAGTCTTTGGATTATCTTAGAGAAAGCCCATCTTTAAAAAATTGCTCTCTTTGGAGAAGAAAATCCTCTGTTGAAAATCACCTCATAGAATCAGTTGCAAGAGGTTAAAAATTAAAACCTATTGTGAGTTTTGGGGTACACACTAGAACCAGAGCCCCTGATTACTTGCTGTTCAGGATCCATGAAGAAATGTGATTATTTGTAGTATTTATTATTCAGATTCATCAGAGCACTACTCTGAACTCAAACATCTTACCTAAATGTGTCTCTTCTTTTCAGATTTTTACCATAAGTGAGAACCAATACTAATCTTTATTGAAAATAAATATATCTGGTAATCCAGACATGTATTTCCTCTGGCCTATTACCCTTTTTTACATTAAAAAGTTGATTATTAGTATTTTCCATTATAATCTTTATCCTTTTGTCCATAACATTTTCAGGTTGGATTCAGTACTGGGTTTATTGGTCCTTGGGGAGGCTGCCAAATTAAACATGGCCTGCTTGAAAGCTTTAATGGACCTAGTGAAAGATTTTGTTTCAAGCATTATGTCTGTTCAAAATCAGGTAACGCTGCTAATTTATATGAGAAAAGAGAACTGAAGAGAAAGAGATTTTATTTTTGCCACTATTTAAATTGTATATCATATTAGGGCATAAAATGTGTATAACTCTGTAATAATAATTGTAATTAAATATAAAAGCAAATTCACCTTAACCATTTATCATACACATTTTTCATTTTCATTACATAATATTAAAATTTGTATTTTGATTGAGGTAAGATAACTTATGGAAACATTTCTGTATTGTTGATTATTAAATTTGTTTCTAATTGTTCACAGTTAATTACAAGTAATGTTGAATTGTTATTATCATACATAAAATCTCCATGTACACTTCTGTTTCTTTAGAGTAGGCTAATAACATTAAATTACCAAATGAAAGACTATGAAATTTCTTTCCAAGTTTTTAGGACAGATATCCAAATTACTTTCCATAAGATATATTAATAACTTTCCTGCATTCCTATGAACAATAAATGAAATTGTCACACCTAGAATTGAGCTGTATATAAAAAAGATTTCTTTTGAATGTAATATGGGAAATAGTCTCTCATTGGATTAATTTACATTCCATTCATTGCTAAGTAAATTGCAAAGTTGTTTTTTATATAATTATTAGCTATTTATATTTTTTATTCTTTGAACTATATTGTAGGCAATCTACTCATGGTGAACCTGTTTCTGAATGAACAGATTTAGAAATATTATTTTATTATGGTCTTTAACAACCCCATAAAGTTTGAAGATACTTATTATAAGTACACTATATAGTTATTAATATGCAAAGACATACTTTGATGATCAAATATCTGTTTTCTTATTTCAGGAAGAAAGTTGCAAGGTAGAAGATTTTTCCTGGGCCTGGAATGTAGTCTACATATATACAGTAATTCTTGCAGAAATCTGCTTGTATGCGGCCACTTCTGATTTACGAAAAACCGCTTTAATCGGTTTCTGTCACTGTAAAAGTTCCCAAAAATATATTTTACACCTGGACAAATCAGTACAGCCAGAATTAAAGGAAACAAGTATTTTAAGTCTTTTGGAGTATTTCTCTTCCAAAATGTCAGATAATTGTAAGTAGATTGTTTTTTCACTTTGAGAGTAATATTTTTAAGTGTCCCTGTCTATATATAGTAACAAGCATTTTACAAAAATTAATATTTAGAAATAGAAAAAATTTTAAATTCCTAAAATTTAAAGTTTATAGCATATATATATTTTTTGAGGCCAAGTGTCACTCACTCTGTTACTTAGGCTGCAGTGCAGTGGCACAATCTCTGCTCACTGTAACCTCCTCTTTTGGTTCAAGCGATTCTCCTGCCTCAGCTTCCTGAGTAGCTGGGACTACAGGCACTTCCCACCATGCCTGGCTAAGTTTTTGTATTTTTAGTAGAGCCGGGTTTTTGTCATCTTGGCCAGGTTGGTCTCAAACTTCTGACTTCAAGTGATCTACCATGTCAGCCTCCCAAAGTTCTGGGATTACATGCGTGAGTCACCGCACCCAGTCAGAACGTTTTTATCAATAATTTTAAAACATTGAAATAGAAACTAGATTCAGTTGACTGATTATTCAAATTATATTTCTTTAAAACAAAAGCTGCATTTAAGCAAATCTGGGTAGTATATATGAAGTTTATTTCCTCTTTATTTTTATTTTGTTTCTCATAGGATTTATCTTCTCTCCTCTGTTTTCTCTAGCCATTTACTGTTTGCCTCTTGTTCTTTTCCTGCACAGAGGATTTCTCTACAATTACTTCACTCAGTTATTCTAGTACAATACTTAAATCTGACATCTTATAGTCCATCAAATAGTAGCTATCTTATATCTCAAGACTAAAGGTCATTTTGCTTTTGTATTTATGGGAGATAATAGAATGAAATACTTTGATTTTTCAGAAAGTACTATGGGGACAATATTAAAGTAGTCTTTTTTGGTTGAATAAAACTTTATAGGTTTATTGAGATAAATTATTGCAGTTTGTATATTGTTACAGTCTATTGGGTATGGGACTCTCACTTCCATTAAATGATGAGATAATTGAGACTGAAGAATCATATCTGAATTATATTTTTATTAACCCAGCGTCTAGCATAAAAGCACATAATAACACATAATTATGATAGTGGATTTGTAACATAATTAAATAAATCATTTAATTTCAGATATAATTGTAAGATTTTGAAAATATTGAAAGAGGTAAGATATTATCTTTAGCCAGAACCATAATTCATTGACTTTGGGGAATTTAGGCTTAAATATAGTTTTAAATAGTAAGACTTTAGACATAGATGCAAATTTCATTCTCAGAAATATGCTCACAATTTTTAAATTGCTTTCAATATATTTTTTGCTTAATCAATAGATTGAAACCCAGCATTTCTAAGTGGAATTAGGTTGACCTTTTCCCTCTTTTTAAGCTTTTATTTTTTTATTGATGCCAATTTTAAACAGATCTTTATTCTTAAGTATGCAAATTATATTTCTTTCATGTTTATATTAATAATAAAGTGAAGATACAGGTATTCATTTCTTTTCCTGTTCACAATTTTAATTATTGGGAATGTCAAAAATTTTCATATATAACAGCTCAATACATGATTTTTAAACCATCACTAAACAGACTCATCTACACATTTGGCCTTCAATTCTTGTCTGGCTATGTAAGTTAGTTTTTCCTGACTTCTAGTGGCGGGTCCAGAAAAGGCCCTATGGGAAGAACGTTTACTCCCAGAAACTTCTTGGCTTCCCTTTGGTCATGACCCCTGAACTCTTACATAACCTTATGACGATGGGATTAAATGTTTCTGCAGACACTCACAAAACTCACATTTTTTTTCCTCCTTAGCAATATGATTTTTAACAAGTTTATTATTATACTTTAAGTTCTGGGATACATGTGCAAAACATGCAGGTTTGTTATATAGATATACATGTTCCATGGTGGTTTGCTGCGTCCATCAACCTGTCATCTAGGTTTTAAGCCCTGCATGCATTAGGTATTTGTCCTAACGCCCTCCCTTTCTTCCTCCCTCCACTACCGACACATTTTCTTTATTGAGGTAATCATTGATAGGCATTTGGGTTGGTTTCAAGTCTTTGCTATTATGAATAATCTTGCAATAAACATGTGTGTGCATGTGTTTATAGTAGAATGATTTACAATCCTTTGGGTATATACCCAGTAATGGGATTACTGGGTCAAATGGTATTTCTAGTTCTAGATCCTTGAGGAATGGCCACACTATCTTTCATAATGGTTGAACTTATTTACACTCACACTAACAATGTAAAAGCATTCCTATATCTCTACATTCTCTCCAGCTTCTGTTGTTCCCTGACTTTTCAATGATCATCATTCTAACTGGTGTGAGATGGTATCTCATTGTGGTTTTGATTTGCATTTCTCTAATGACCAGTGATGATGAGCTTTTTTTTTATATGTTTGTTGACCCCATAAATGTCTTCTTCTGAGAAGTGTCTGTTCATACTTTTCACCCACTTTTTGATGGGGTTGTTGTTGTTTTTTTTCTTGTAAATTTTGTTTAAGTTTCTTGTAGATTCTAGATATTAGGCCTTTGTCAGAAGGATAGATTGCAAAAATTTTCTCCCATTCTGTAGGTTGCCTGTTCACTCTGATGATAATTTCTTTTGCTGTGCAGAAGTTCTTTAGTTTGATTAGATCCCATTTGTCAATTTTGGCTTTTGATGCCATTGCTTTTGGTGTCTTAATCATGAAGTCTTTGCCCACCATGCCTATGTCTTGAATTGTATTGCCTAGGTTTTCTTCTAGGGTTTTTATGGTTTTAGGTATTATATTTAAGTCTTTAATCCAATTGAGTTAATTTTTATGTAATGTGTAAGGAAGGGGTCCAGTTTCAGTTTTCTGCACATGGCTAGCCAGTTTTCCCAACACCATTTATTAAATAGGGAATCCTCCCCCTATTGCTTGTTTTTGTCAGGTCTCTCAAAGATCAGATGGCTGTAGATGTGTGCCGTTATTTCTGAGGCCTCTATTCTGTTCCATTTGTCTATATATCTGTTTTGGTACCAGTATCATGCTGTTTGGTACCAGTACCATGCTGTTTTTGTTACTGTAGCCTTGTAGTATAGTTTCAAGTCAGGTAGCATGATAACTCCAGCTTTGTTCTCTCTGTTTAGGATTGTCTTGACTATATGGCCTTCTTTTTGGTTCCATATGAAATTTAAAGTAGATTTTTCTAATTCTGTGAAGAAATTCAGTGATAGCATGATGGGAATAGCATTGAATATATAAATTACTTTGGGCAGTGTGGCCATATTTATGATATTGATTCTTCCTATCCATGAGCATGGAATGTTTTTACAATGTTTTTGTCCTCTCCTATTTCCTTGAGCAGTGGTTTGTAGGTCCCCTTGAAGAGGTCCTTCATGGCCCTTGTAAGTTGTATTCCTAGGTATTTTATTTTCTTTGTAGCAATTGTGAATGGGAGTTCACTCATGATTTGGCTGTCTATTATTGGTATATAGGAAAGCTTGTGATTTTTTGCACATTGATTTTGTATCCTGAAATTTTGCTGAAGTTGCTTATCAGTTTGAGGAGTTTGGGGTTATGATGGGGTTTTCTAAATATGCAAATATGTCATCTACAAACAGAGACAATTTGACTTTCTCTCTTCATATTTGAATATCCTTTATTTCTTTCTCTTGCCTGATTTTCCAGGCCAGAACATCCAATACTATGTTGATAGCAGTGGTGACAGAGGCATCCTTGTCTTGTGCCAGCTTTCAAAAGGAATGCTTCCAGCTTTTGTCCATTCAGTATGATATTTGCTATGGATTTGTCATTAGTAGCTCTTATTATTTTGAGATGTGTTCCATCAATACCAGCAGAACTCCTTCAGTTCTGCTCTGATCTTAGTTATTTCTTGTCTTAGCATGGAGGGGTGTTGAATTTTATCAAAGCCTTTTCTGCATCTGTTGAGATAATCATGTGGTTTTTGTCATTGGTTCCGTTTTATGTGATAGATTACATTTATTGATTTGTGTATGTTAAATCTGGCTTGCATCTTGGAGATGAAGCCAACTTGATCATGGTGGATAAGCTATTTATATGCTGCCTGATTCAGTTTGCCTAATTTTGTTGAGGATTTTTGCCTTGATGTCCATCAGGGATATTGGCCTGAAATTTTCTTTTTTTGTAGTATCTCTGCCAGATTTTGGTATCAGGATGATGCTGGCCCCATAAAATGAAAAGGGAGGAGTCTCCCTTTTTCTATTGTTTGGAAGTTTCAGAAGGAATGATACTAGCTCCTCTTTGTACTTCTGATAGAATTCAGCTGTGATTTCCTATGGTTCTGGGCTTTTTTTGGTTGGTAGGCTATTAATTACTGCCTCAATTTCAGAACTTGTTATTGTTCTATTCAGGGATTCAACTTCTTCCTGGTTTAGTCTTAGGAGAGTGTATGTGTCCAGGAATTTATCCATTTCTTCTAGATTTTCTAGTTTATTTGCATAGAGGTGTTTGTAGTATTCTCTGATGGTAGATTGTATTTCTGTGGTATCAGTGGTAATGTCATTTATCATTTTTTATTGTGCCAATTTGATTCTTCTCTCCTTTCTTCCATAATAGTCTGCCTAGCAGTTTATCTATTTTGTTAATCTTTTCAAAAACCAACTCCTGGATTTGTTGATTTTTTGAAGGGTTTTTAGTGTCTATCTCCTTCAGTTCTGCTCTGATCTTAGTTATTTCTTGTCTTCTGCTAGTTTTTGAATTTGTTTGCTCTTGCTTCTCTAGTTCTTTTAACTGTGTTGTTAGGGTGTTGGTTGTAGATTTTTTTCACTTTTTGTGGGGGCATTTAGTACTATAAATTTTCCTGTTAACACTACTTTAGCTGTGTCCCAGAGATTCTGGTACATTTTGTCTTTGTTCTCATTGATTTCAAAGAACTTATTTATTTCTGTCTTAATTTCATTATTTACTCAGTAGTCATTCAGGAGCATGTTGTTTAGTTTCCATGTAGTTGTGTGGTTTTGAGTGAGTTTCTTAATTCTGAGTTCTGATTTGATTGCACTGTGGTCTGAGAGACCATTATG